TAAATCGCCCGCTGGCGGGGGGGGGGGCTTCCCTCCTCCCTCCATTCCACTTCTCTTCGGGGGGGAAAGCCTTTTAAGCCACCGATTGTGACTGAAGCTTCGACTTACGGTTGGCTGCTTTGACGTTTAGTTCTCTGAGTTGTTTCACCCGCTTTACCACTCCACTTTCCCGGCGGCTTTGCTGGTCCCCATTACAGGGCACAACGCTGCTGGAGCCGTTTGGGGTAGGAGTCACCAGGCGCGCAGCCATAACCGGAAATCTCAGAACTAAATAATACACTTACTTTTGTTTACTACTCATTCAGTCCAATTACTGGGCCTCAAAAGAATCTTGCATTACTATTTTTGGTCATTACCTCCTGGGGCTGGAGTAGGTAATTTGCACATATGATACCTTCCCTGGATGTGGAAGCAGTTTCTCAGGCTTCCACTTTGGAATTGAACCCTGATTCTCCTTAACCCATGGTCACCACAGGAACCACAGTAAGTACCATTGAAAGTTGACAGGGCAGATATTCAAATGAGTCATCACTGCCATGGGGGCAGTGTGAATCTGTGATCAGCTTGAGGTTACAGTTTACTACCTTCAATTTTTATTTTTTCCTACCTCTCAGATAGCAAAAATCAAAGATACATGTGCTATGGTAGAACAGGGTGTGGCATTTTCCAACTCTTTCTCACAGAAAATGAAGAAAATTTACACTTTTAAATTCCATAAATAAGCCAAACAGTACAATTATACATGCTTTCATATCTTTTATGTTGTTCAGTCAAGCCTTTTGGCTTGATTGGAGAAAGTAAGATTGCATGTATTTCAGTTCCCCTAAAATCTCGGGGGGGGGGGGAATTCCCTGTGGCTTCAAAGTTTCTGGAAGTTTTATATCTCTACTCCTGTGTCCCATCTTCCCACACCTTTTTGTTGTTGTTGTTCAGTCGCACAGTCGAGTCCGACTCTTCGCGGCCCCATGGACCAGATCATGCCAGGCCTTCCTGTCTTCCGCCATCCTCTGAAGTTGGCTCAATTTCATGTTCATTGCATCTA